GCAGGCCAGTCCCCTTCCCTCCCACCAAGCCAAAGGAAAACCCATCAGCAACTGACCTGGGTGCACAGTCACTCCCAGCACGATGATCTCCTGCAGCAGATTCCAGCAGCAGCTGCCCTCACAATCCACCACATCCCAAATCTGCTGCCTGTTTAACCAGCAGCATGGAGTGTTTTGACAGCCTCCAGCAGGAAACAACCCCGTGGGACCACCAGGGCCGACCCCCCGCCAGCAGGAACAGCAGGACAGCCACCGGCCAGGGCTGGTTCACACAGGGCTCACGGGGGTATCGCCTTCCCTCTCCCGGGGCCAGGAACCATGTTCCTGACAGCTTTGTTTGGGGCTTCATCTCCTGCAATTTTCTCCTGCCTCCAGTTTCACTGCTGAGGCTGCAGCTGGCTAATCCAGCCCCGGCCTCCCAAGATCCTGAGGCTCCCGTGGCATTCAGTTAAATCCCCTGCCAATGGGTGATGTGTGCAGGCACCAAAACCCTCCTCAAGCCGCTTTGCTGCGAGCGATGGCACATCTGGTGGGACCACGGGGTGCAGCCCTGCTCCCCCCTCGCAAGGTTCTGTCCCCTTTCTAACATTTCCACTGTAAAAGACATCGAGTGCCTGACTGGAGCCAGGCACAGAACCCCCTGTGCCCACACACCTGGGCTCAGCACTGCCCTCCCAGAGCCTGCCACGGCCCCCAACAGCACCCTACAGACTGGAGGGTGCTACACGGTCCTGTTGCTCCCCAGAATAGGCACCACCTCCCCCCAGAGCCGCAGAAGGCTGAGAATACCCAAAGTGAAAGCAAAGAGCAGCAGCTCACTCAGATGGGCTCAGCCCTGCAGCAAAACAGGCACAGGATGGCGGGGGGGAAGGGAAGGGGGGGAAGGGGGAGGAGGGAGGGGGGAGGGCCACTGCCAGGGCTGAGCTGCCCTCATTAGGGGCAAAGAATGGAAAAAGGGGCTGGGGATGCTCTGCCTGTCCAGCACCCTCAGGATAAAGCAGCCTCCTGAGATCTTTCCTTCCTGGGATCAGGGCTGCTCCCAGCCCCTGCAGATGGGAGACAGAGCACCCTGGGGCTGTGCCCCACACCAGGATGGGCTGTTAGCCTCATCCCACAGGAGCCTGGCACATCACGTGCCTTGGGGTGGGATTGCCTTATCTCTCCCTGCATGGCCCTGTGACATCTGAGCAAAGCCAGCCCAACACCAGCCAGACTTGGCAAGAGACAGTGTCCCATGCGCTGCTCCACAGTGTCCCCCTGGGACCACACCGAAGGGGCTCAGAGCTGCCAGAGCAGCAGGTGGGCAGCAGGTACCAAGCTGTACCCTCACCTCTCCCACTGGAGCCCTTGGACAGCATGGACACTGGCCTGGCACAAGTTGGGTTGAGACCACCTCTCCAGCTGGACCCAAATCTGTCACAGAAGAGATGGTCTGAAAGGGCTACAACACATCCACCTCCTCGGGGACTGACCCCAGCTGGTGCTGGAGACTTCAGATTCACAGAAAGCATCCCGGCAGGCAGAGATGCCAGGACTCTAGCAGGGCTAGAGCCCAGCTGATCCCACCACCTGGCCTTTCCCAGCTCAGTCCCTCAGCCGAGGCCCCCACAGGGTGCACGGTGATGGGCACACGAGTCTGCCCAGTCCTCCTTCCCAAGGAGGAGTTGGAGGTCACTCCCTGGGGCAGAAGCCAGCACAGGACTGCCCTCGTGGAGCACAAAGCATCGCAGCAGGAGTGTCTCCGAGAGCAGCAGAGCACTGGAGGTTGCAGGGTTTAAATAAACTTGAAATCCGACTCAACTTCCTTCCCCAATTTCACAAGCTCCGTTTCCTGCGTCTCCGCAGCCGGCCACGCGTGCTCAGAGCCACGGGCAGCTCTGGCACGGGGGATGCCACTCTCCCTCCGATGAGCTGGCCAGTTTGGAGGTGCCCTCAGGGAGCAGCTCTGCAGCCAGACAGGCTGCTCAGGCCTCCAGCCAAGGAGTTTAATGGCCTCTGGGGTCAATAGGAGCCATCAGCCCTTCCTGACACTGCAAAACTGCTCGTGCGCCCAACAGGGCTGAGCTCCGCTTCCTGCAGCCGGCACGGGGAGCCCCGTCCCCAGCTCACTGCAGCTGCCAGAGCTGCCACCACCTGACTGCAAGCCTGGAGGGGGCTGTGGCGAGGGGGGCTGCTGAGCCTGAAGGCACAGGCCTTAAATCCCCGGCACAAGCCTCAAATCAAGGCTGTGCTCCTGGACAGAGGGCAAGGAGCGGGGAGCTGCCGCGCTGGCTGCACCACAGCCACCCTTTTGAAGGTCACCTACAGAAGGAAGCGGCAGTTGCTGCCTGAGGAGTGTGGGTCCCCAGGCCCCCCTACTCAGCACCATCGCGGCAGGCGGCAGCTTCCTGCTGACACCGTTACCCCGGCGCGGGGCAGGCGGGCACCAGCCCCAGCGCCGCCGGCAGCTCGGCCCCGGCGGTTCCTGCCCGTGGTTCCTCCCCACGGCATCCACCAGAGCCAGCAAAGCTCAGCCGCGCCCATGGAGCCACAAGTCAGACTCCAGGCTAAGGGGCAAGCGAAGGCAGACCCTGCTGGCGGGGAAGGCGGCGGCCAGGGCAGGACCCAGCCCTGCCCTTGCAGACAGTGCAGGTCTGAGCTGCAGGTACAAGGTACAGGGACAAATCAGCCCCTGGGCCAGGAGCAGCTGCTGGGCCTGCATTTCCCTCTGCTGACAGCAGCGCTGCTGCAGGTACTGGCCATTTCCCTCCTGGCATGCAGAAAGCCTAAATAATGCCCCTGCACTTCAATACCTGGCTCAGAAACTGGATTCTCTGGACTCCCAGTGCAAACGGGGCAGATGGGGGTCTCAAGGGGAAGATGGGAACCTGTGAGGTCGACAGTGAAACACCACTCCTGCCTCCTCCTGCCAGGCCAAGAGAATCAGCAAGAACTGGGGTGCACAGCTCCAGCACTCCTGTTCCACTGTCCCCATTCCTCCCACCCTGAGGGCTCCCCACCCTGGGACCACAGAGATGGGTCCTGGTGGCCTGTGGCACCTCTTGACATCAGCTGGACCAGCCCCAGTCTTTTGACCCCATCAGCCCACAGTGCCTTCCTCCAACATCCCCATCGCCTCCCAGTGTCCCTGCCCCTTCCCCAGGTCCCACCTCACTCCCACCAGCAGCACAGACACACAGACCCTGAAGAAATGGCACAGCTGGCCCATTCACGTTATTATGAAGGGACAAAAGGAGAGCTTTGATCCGTGTCCTGCCGCACCCCAGAGGCATTCAATCCCCTCCACGCTCCGATGGCCAAGGGAGGCAGATCTAGGGCAGGTTTGCTCCAAGGGTGGGGGGTCTTGGAGACTCCTGCAGCCCGGCTGCTCCACCGGCAGGGTGTCACCAGCGCTCACAAAGGAAAATCTCACTCTGCTCCCAGCCCAAGACAGGAGGGGACCCAACCCCAGTCCCCCAGGGCTGGTGTGGCAGAAAAGGCGGGTGGTCCACAGGGAGAGCATCTCGGCCCTTGCACACTCAGCCCTTGCACACTCAGCCCAGCCTCGGAGCCACCTTCCTGCATGGCGCTGCGACCTGCCGGCTTTGTCTGGCAGCCTCCTCGCTCTCAGCTCTGCTCCTTTGTCCTCCCAACTCACCTCCACCACCACATCGCGCCAGCTGCCTGGCTCCCACCAGCTCACTGAGTGGGATGCTGTCTCACTCCCTCAAGGAAGGGACAGGAGAGGGCTGGACCTCTCTCCTCTCCCCGGTTCCTCACCATGGACACTCCAGTCCCACTGCAATGCTGCATATCCCAACCACCTCCCGGCTGCAATCCTTTCCCCGAGCACCAGCCAGCCTAGGACCCCACTGCTGGCAGACCCCTGAGGGATTAGGAGAGCCCAGCAGAAACGACCCCACAGCCGCCATCCCGAGCGGCACCCACCCCACCTCCCGCACGATGTTAAAAGGCATCATCCCGAGACAAACGCAGCGCGAAGAGGGGAACAGTCTGGCCAGGAGGAAATCTCCACCCCCAGCGCCGGCATCACTGGGTTCCCGGGTCAATGTCCTGGCACGGACACTCCGTCTTGGCACAGCCCACCCTGCCCCTGTGCAGGCACCCCAGCAGCACACGCAGCAGGGCTGCCGTCACTCCTCCTGCAGCTCCCCCATCCTTCACAGCCACAGCCTGGCCTCAACCCCCGGCTTCCCCAGAGGAGCACGGCAGAAAATCCCCTCCGGCTGCTCCCTGGGCGGACAGGCTGGAGGGGCAGAGGAGCTGGGAGGCGTCCTGGTGCACACACACACACGCGTGTACACACGCACACAGCCCCGCACACCCGCATGCACAACACACACCCAGCCCCACACCCACCCGCTCTCCCTCCATCACCGCCGCTGCACCAGCAGCATCTTTTGTGCTCCCGCTCTGCCCAGGCAGGGCCAAGGCAATGCCCCCCGAGCCCCGGCGGGTTCGGAGGCCGCCGGCAGCTCCCTCTGCGAGGTGCGGGTTTGGAGGCGCATTGTTCCCAGCACAAAGACACCGAAATGCCGCATCGTTCTCCCACCACCCAGGGACCCCCACCCCACCCCCCGGCATCCCGGTGACACCTCGGGGGGGGGATCCAAAGCCACCCGCGCCGCAGCCGGGAGCTGCCCAGGCTGGGTGCCAGGCGGCTCTGCCGGTGGAGGGGCCGGGGGATGCCGGGGAGGGGTGGAGAGCAGCGCGGGGCTGCGCGACGCGGGAGCCGGTGGGGAGAGGGGGGGAGACACCCCGAAACGGTGCTGAGAGAGAGCGGCGGGGGGGTGCGGGATGCGGCAGAACCCGGCTCGGGGTAGAGGGTGGGGGGTCTCACTGCCCCGGGAGGGGCACCCGCCAACCGCCGCCTCGCACCCGCGGCTGTAGCGCCCGCGCCGCCGGTCGGGCATCGGTCCCGGGGCGCGCCGAGCTCCCCGCGCCCACCCCCGGGGATGCGCAGCCCTCCCCGCGCCGGCAGCGCCGAGCCCCGCGCTCACCTCACGGCCACCTTGACGCAGCTGTCCGGGGTCGCCATGGCCCCGCCACCGCGGCCGCCGCTACCCGGGAGCATCCGCGGGGCGGGGGGGCGGGGCCGGCCCAGGTGCGGGGCGGGGCCGAGCCGGGGCCGCGCCCCCAAAACCCGAGGCGCGAGCACGCGGGCGGGCGGCGTGTGCGCGCACGGACACACGGACGGGGCCGGGGCCGGGGCCGGGGCCGCACTCGCTCTCATACGGTCTGTTACACTCCACTCGCACCCGTCAGTCATCGCTGCCGCCTACAGGGGCTGCTTCGGGTGTTCCGGGGCTGTTCCGGCTGTACCGGGGCTGTACCAGGATTTTTCCGGGTGTACCGGGGCTGTACCGGGGCTGCCCCGGGTGTACCGAGGCTGCTCCGGGCTGTACTGGAGCAGTACTGGGGCTGCTCTGGGCTGTTCCAGAATTTATCGGGGCTGTACCAGAGCTGTACCGGGGCTGCTCCGCGTGTACCGGGGCTGTTCCGGCTGTATCGGAGCTGCTCTGGCTGTACCGGGGCTGTACCAGGGTTTTTCCGGGTGTACTAGAGCTGTACCGGGTCTGCCCCGGGTGTACCGGAGTTGTACCGGGGCTGCTCCGGGCTGTTCCAGAATGTATCGGGGCTGTCCCAGGGCTGTACGGGGGCTGTTCCGCGGGTACCGGAGCTGTACCGGGGCAGTCCTGGGGCTGCTCTGGGCTGTTCCGGGGTTTATCGGGGCTGTGCCAGGGCTGTTCCGGGCTGCACCGGATGGCATGTTCCGACATGGTTGGCATCACTCAGACACTTCCATGGCTCCACTGGATCCCGTCCCAGAGCTCTGTGGTGTTGAGGGGCGACACCATGGAGCAGCAGGAGCCAGAGCAGGTCAGGGGTGAGCTGGGTGCTCTTACCAGACCCACTGGGACTGGGGGCTGGTGACCCTGGGGGCTGCCCAAAGGCGAGAGCCCATCCCAAGAGGACAGGGGACGAGGCTGATGGCATGACAGCACAGTGCCACAGTGCCCAGGTGCCAGTACAGCTCTCCAGCGTGCACAGTCTGTACTGCAAGGCTGTGGGGCTCACACACACACAGCAGAGGACACTGCCCACAGGGCCACTGGCCCCATCCTATGAGCTGGTCTCGGGAGTTTGGTGAGGGAGACACATACAGAGGCCATCAGGGAGCAGGACTGGGCTCAGGCAAGCACTGGGGAGCTCAAGGAGCCCCTGTTACAGCATCCCTGAGTTGCATTAACTTTGCTGGGGCTGATTGCAGTTGGACACACTGCCTGGGGACACGGCCAGGCCCTGGCTCAGCAGGAGAAAGCATCTCCCAGCAGGTGAGAGACCTACAGGGGACCCTCAGCTCTGCAGGTTGGTGTCAATGTCAGGGCAAATAGCAATGGAACCCGAGGGCAAACTGAGGCATACAGAGGTTTCCTTTGAGGAATCCAGACTGTGTCCTGGGAGAGGGACAGCCAGGACACACCAGCCCTGGTGGATGACAGAGCCCAGCACCTGCCCTGTGCTCTGGGGTCTGGGTACCTTCACCTCAACAGCACTGTTCCTTCACCCTGTCCACTTGTGCTCCTTCCAAGGCTCCCAAGGTGCCATCTCTGCACCCTGTGGAAGCTTCTCAGCACCTGCTGGGATGGGTGAGTTCCAGGGCACCTTATGCTGGTACAGCAGCGTGGGGATGAGCAGGACATGGCCTGTCTGTTCTCCTGCAAGGATGTGAGGAGCTGGTATTCCTCTTCCTTTGTCCCATGTTTGCAAGGACACCTGGTCCAGGGTGTGCTTCCCTCCCTGAACTGCTCATTTTTCAGAGGCTGGACTCTTCCCCACTGAAGCTCCAAGCAGAGAGGGGCAGTGACTGTGCCATGATGTTGCTGTGCCTCTCTTCCTACTCCATGTGCCTACTCCATGTGCCAGCTGTGCCACAAATCACATCTGTGCTATCACATCTGTTCAGCTAGAATCAACTCAAAGAAGACACACCAAAAACACGCCTCCCATGCAGCCCCAGACCCTAGGAGAGGGTGCAGAGGCCCCACCACCACCGTATGTCCCCACCACAGTGTCACCCTTCATGTTTAGAGCCCCCAGTGAGCGCCCACCTGACTTGGCAAGTGGAACATGCAGTGCCACACCTCCCTAAACCCACTAGGAAACCTTGACCACTCATCTCGTCACCCATAACATGTCCTTGACATCCCCTGGTAGAGCCACACTGCCCTTCCTCAGCAAGGTGTGTGTGTGGGGAGGAAGGGAGGTGAGTGTGAGGGATGTAGGTCCTGCCCCAGGGCAAGGAAGCAAGAGGAAGGGATGCAGCAGCTGCCCTCGCACCGTCCATCCCTGCTGGCTGCACGGCACAGGGGGAAGCTGCTCTGCCATGGCCCAGCACCAGACTGGCTCTGGTGCTCAGCTGCAGCTGGAGCTCAGAGACAGCCGGTTCCCTTGATTGAGTTAACAAATAAAAGCCGTGCTGGGGAGCAGGCTGGCTCATTGATCGGCTCCTCCCCCGGGACCCATCCGCTCACTGCATTTTAATATATATTAGGTGAGGAAGAACCCTCCCGGTTTCCAGTTCTGCTTGGCTGGGAGCCCTCGGGAGCCAGATCCCAGCAAAGAGCTGGGCTGGGAGATGGGGCTGCCCCAGTGCTCAGAACCCAGACCCCATGGGGGGCACTGCAGTCTGTAACACAAACCCCTGCACAGCCCCAGAGAGGAACAGCCTCAGCTGCTGCTCAGCAGGCAGCACTGGGAGCACTGGCAGGAACAGGGAGCACTGGGAGCACTGGGAGCACTGGCAGGAACAGGGAGCACTGGGAGCACTGGCAGGAACAGGCAGCAAGCACTGTGCCCCCACACCCTCCTGGCCCGTGCCCTGCTGAGCCGTGGGGATGTCACAGGATGAATGAGACGTTCCCACACACCAGGCTGAGCGAGGGATGCCCGACCCCAAGAGCGGTGCCTGGAGATAGTGGGAGAGGCAGAAATGGCATTGCAGTGTCCAGCTCTCCTCTTGGCCAGCCCCAGGGCTGGTGCCTCAGCTTGGACATGCTCTCATGCCTCTGCCCCATCCTGTTTTGCACCCAGCTGGGATAGGGAGCCAAGAAGCCCCCAGGCCCCATTTTGCTGCCCAGCCTGTGACAGATCTCCTCCTCCTCACAGGCCAGGCTCAGCTGCAGGCAGGAGGCCGCAGGGTCCAGCTGCTGGGATACCAGGAGACCCCCAGAGCTTGGACTGGAGGCTGCCACGTGAATGGTTCAACGTGGTCTCACATTTGCAGCCCTGTCCCCTGCCTGGGCAGTGAGCATCTGTGGGCACAGGCTGTGTGGGCAGGGGGGCAGAGGAAGGAGGGGACAGGGGATCCACAGGGTCACACAGCAGGAACACTTTAATGACCTGTCCAGCTCTTGCAAGAGCCCGCTGGCACAACATTGTCCTGTCCTGCACCAGCATCCCAGAGACCTGTCCCAAAAATACTCCTGCAGCTGGCCAGAGCCCCCCAGGACCGCAGGCAGAGCAGGGGAGCAGTGCGGCTCTGCCCCAGCACCCCCTGCGGGCCCCTGACAGGACCGTGCCTGCTGGGCTACTTTGGCAGGTGGCTCACAGGCCCGTGGGCAGTGAAGGTCTTTTGGGACTGGGCTGCCCTGAGCCCTGGGGAGCTGGCTGGTGACGTGGCTGAGGTGTCCCGGGGGGCAGAGCAAGTTTTTGTGCCCTGCAGTGTTTGTCTTCCCTTCAGCAGCTCCACGGCTGCTCTCTCCACTTCATCCATCCCCAGCTGGCTGCTGGCTGCCATCTCGTCCCTGGTCACTGCTACAAACGACGAGTCACGGGCCAGACCCGGAAGGCCCCCAGAGATCAGAGCCTGTGCAGAGGACAAGGTCACAGCCCGTGGGTGCTCGGCCTGGGCAGCTGCCCCACTGCAAGCCCCTGCCCTCCCCTCCTCCCTGCTGCCCCCTGTGCTGGCACATACCTGCTGCTCACCCTTGGAGCTAAGCTTTGCCCCCCCAACCTCCCATCGGGGCCTGAACACGGTATCCTTGGAATTCCTGCCATCCCTGCCCTTCCCTCCGCCAGACCGTGCCCTTGCCTTACCTCCTGAATGAGGAAGGTGATGGCTGGGGTGGAGGATGTGCTTGGCTCACCACTCTCTCCCTGCTGGAACCCTGAGCTGGATGCTGTTGCTGTCGCAGTGCCATCCTCTCTGGGCAGCTGGGTGAGAGGAGAACAGAGCTGCAGCCTGGGCTGGGACACTGCCCAGGGAAGATCTCTGCTGTGATAGTGTGGGGGCTGCAGGTTCTGTCCCCTGTCCCTGTCCAGTGCCTGGCCAGGCACTGCCATCCTGCTGGAGCTCCTGTGTCCAGGGCACCCCAACAATGGGACCAGCAGGGCCATGTGGGCAGAGAGCTGGGAACCATCCCTGACTCCCTGCCCTGGCACCAGCCAGGCATGAGGCACTGTGGCCAGCAAAGGGCAGCCAGGGGAGCAAACCTGACGCACCCCTTCTGCCTGCCCTGGCTCTGAAGGCAGCTGGGGAGCCACAGGGATGCTGCTTCAAGCTGTCCCAGCTTGGAGGAGCCCCAAGTGACTGCTACAGCAGTGGGGTTGGGGCCCAGCTCCATCCCCAGGCTGATCCAAAAGAAAAGCTCTAGCAAGGCTGGATTCACATGAGGAGCCCTTCCCAGCATGGCTGTGACAGCCTTTCCCAGGATGGGAGGGAGGTTCACCCACGTGCCCCACATCACTGCCTCTGGACATACATCACCCCTTTTACCTGCTGGGGGAGCAGGAGTGGCCCCAGCGATGAGGGACCCCCAGAGGTGGCCCTTCGCCTCCTGCTCAGCCTCTCCATGGGTATGGGGGGGTTGTGCTCTGCAGAAGGGAAAGGTAGGGACATCAGATGGGTACAAGAGCAAGGACACCACTACCATGCAGAGCTGGGAACGGGCTCACCAGAGTTCAGCACCACCCAAAGTCCCAGTGCCTGCCCCCTGCCTGTGCTGGCTCCTCACCCACAGCTGGGAAGGAGAATTTGAGGAAATGAACGTGGTCTTGTGGCCCTGTTGCCCGGGGGT